TTAGTGACTAGGACTCAGTAGTTTTTAGGGTTTCCCTTTGGTTTCCCATTACGTGCAGTTCATCTCTAGTCTTGCACGTTGGTGAACACCTGCGCCCGTGTAACCATGACCCCTGTGACACCCACACATTTCTCCACCTGTGACACCCACACACACATTTTTCCATGCTCCTCTCCAGGTAGCTCACACCCCATGGGTCCAGCAGCATTTGCTTCTGCCATGATTCCCGTCCCGTTAGTCTTGTCTGCCTAGAATGTTGTAAGTAGAATTACACAGCGTGCACTCTCCTGTGCCTGCCTTTTTTCACTCAGTGTGGTATTTCTGAAATTCAGCATGTGGCATTTGTCGAAGTTTGTCTCATGTATTATTTATTCCGTTTTATGGCGCTACTGCTGCTTGTTAAGAGTTCGTCTGTTGATGGCCACCTGGACTCTTTCCAGTCTTTAGCTGCGGAGAATATTTGAGTTCAAGTCTTTGTGTAGACATATGGTTTGTTTTCTCTTGGGCAAATACCTCGGACTAGAACGCCAGGTCACAGGGTGTGTGTGTTTAGATTTTGTAGGTCCTGCCACACCTTTCCCCAACATGAGCCCTCATCACTTTTCCATTCCCACCAGCAACAGATCGGAGTACGGCTGACCGCATCTGTGCTTTACGTCTTGACAGCTTCGGCTACCAGGTGTGGGGTGTGCCCCAGGCTGGTTTTATATGGGCATTTCCTGGAGGGCTACTGGTACCGAGTATTTCATGCCTTTTTGGTTCTGTGTCTCCTTGTGTGAGATGCCGGTTCAGTCTCTTGCCCTGGTTTTAGTTGGGTCATTTGATGACGGTTGTACACAGTTTTGTCAGTCTCTGCCTGCATGTTCTGTAAAACACTTTAGAGCCCAAAAACCTCTTTTCCTTTAGAGTAGAAAAGAACCAAATACAATGTCCTTTGACTCTCTTAAAAAGAAAGAATCTTAGACCTCATGCTGCCCTCTGAAGCAGCAGGGTATAGCACAGCATTGGGAAGGGGGACTGATTGGCCTGGCAGACAAGTGCTCTGGGTTCCTGGTGTTACTTAAGAGTGGTGTGAAAGGGGATGACACTCCCAGCCTTACCTGTCACATAAGGCTGTGATAAGCAAGTGATATAATGTGTGTGACAGACCCTCACAAAGCTTCAGAGAAATACATAGTCGCAAGATCTAGAAGGCACAGTCTTAAATCCATAGAGGTGTTATCAGCCGGCTGAAGACCAGGGAGAAGTCAAGCCAGGCAGAGTAAGGCTGATGGCTGATCTCTTGGGGCTCTTAGTCTGTTCAAGGTGAATGCGTAAGAAGAATTAGGTCTCAGGACGTTCAGTTGTACACAGGGATCAGGACACACATTTTGTCTCATCTGCTTGTTCTCTTTCTAATCAGGTACAAGAGGAAAGGAGACTCCTGCCTGGGCATTAATCCTAAGAAACAGTGCATATCTTGGGAAGGGGCTTCTGCAGCTAAGAAGCAGTCACACAAGCACCTGGAGCGCTATTTTACCAAGAAGAGTGTGGGATTAATGCGCACTGAGGGGATTGCTGTGTGTAGTAACCCTGAGCCCCCTTCCTCTGAGACAGTCACATTTATCCCCGTGAAGGACTCCGCTGATGTGGCTACCCCTGTTGCAACATGGCTGAATCCTCTGGGGATTTATGATCAGTCAACTACACAGTGGTTACAAGGACAGGGTCCACCAGAGCAAGAATCAAAGCAGCCAGATTCACAGCAGGACAGGGAGAGTGCTGTTCTCAAGGCCAAAGTGGAGGAGTTTAACAGAAAGGTGCGGGAGAATCCTCGGGATACTCAGCTGTGGATGGCATTTGTAGCTTTCCAGGTAAGTGTCACTGGCCTGGTTCTCTTACTTTGAAATGGCAATTCTGATTTTACTCTGTAGCATCCATCTATCTATTCATCCATCCATCCATCCATCCATCCATCCATCCATCTATCCATCCATCCATCCATTTGGTAGTACTGGGTATTGAACTCAGGATCTTGCATATGCAAGCATTCTACCACTGATCTCCCAAGCTCTTCTTTGTTTCATTTTGAGCTAAGGTCTAAGTTGCCCAGGTTGGCCTTGAACTTGCCATCCTCCTGCCTCTGCCTCCAAAGTAGTTGGGATTATAGGCGTGCACCACTACATACACTTGGTCCTGTCCTGTAGCACTTTGAACTGCTCTGAAAGAGCCTGGGCCTCGTTTCTTGTTGGTTGTAGCCTTTGACCTGAGCTTGCTCAAAGTCCAGTGAGGAAGCCCAACCTTCTGAGAAGTACATGCATAGTGTACATACCTACCTACCTACCTACCTACCTACCTACCTACCTACCTACCTACCTACCTACGTAGAGTAGGAATGCTGTGTAGTTGTCTGGGAATGGAGTAAAACTTGAATAGAATGTTTCTTTTTTTTAGTAGGGGTTGGGGTGTGGGGCTGTGGTTGGAGGGGTTGGGGATGAATGTAGGGGTGAGTGGCTGTAGGGTTGATGCTGGGATGGAACCCAGGGCCTCACATGCTAGATAAGCACCATATCCCTGATTGGGATCTCAGCTCAGGAGTGCAATTTTGAGAGAAGTGGCTGAGGACAAGGCATCCCTGAAGTGCAGAGTACACACAGCGAGGGCTGCTCAGGGTCACCTCCCTAGAGGCGGGTGCTCCTGCCCTGGCGTGCACAGCTAGCTGCGTCTTGGTCATTAGTTTGGTTCTTGAGTAGTTAATAGATTGTGACTGTTTGATTGGTAAGATTGGTTCTGCCCTGTTCATGCACTGTGCTAGTCACTGATGTATAAATCCCTGTTAAGAACCACACAGATGGCTCAGTGGTTAAGAGCACTAGCTGCATAATCGTGAGGATCAGAATTCAGATCTAAGTACCCATAGAACAAGCAAGACATCTGTGTATACCTGTGACTCATTTCTAAGGGGTGTTGTGTGTGTTGTGTGTATATGTGTCTGTCTGTCTGTCTGTCTGTCTGTCTGCAGAGAAAAGAGGTTTCCTGGAGAGATTCTGCCCCAGGAATAAGGCTGAGTGTGATAGAGGAGGACAGCTGACGCCCTCTTCTGGTCAACAGTTATACACAGGCATGTGTGCCTACATACATAACATAGGAACACACATGCACAAATAAATAGTGATAAGTGACTCTTTATTTTTTATTTTTTGGTTTACTGAGACAGGGTTTTTCTCTATGTAGTTTTGGTGCCTGTCCTCGATCTCACTCTGTAGACCAGGCTGGCCTTGAACTCAAACCTCTTGTCGTAAGAGGTTTATCAATAAAATCTCACTAGTAGCTCAGTTTGAAAGCCGGGAGCCCCCCGGGAGTCATGCTAGCTGAGCACTGTGGAACTGAGGAGCACATGTGTGTAGTTTGCGTTAGTAAGCTGTTGTTCTTGTTGTTGAGGACGAGGTCATGAGGGGCCCTGGCCTGTATGCCCTCGAGGAAGGAGAGCAGGAGAAGCACCGGAAGTCCCTGAAGCTCCTGCTGGAGAAGAAGCTGGCCGTGCTGGAGCGGGCCATCGAGAGCAACCCGAGCAGCGTGGACCTGAAGCTTGCCAAGCTGCAGCTGTGCGCCGAGTTCTGGGAGCCCAGTGCGCTGGCCAAGGAGTGGCAGAAGCTCCTCTTCCTGCACCCCAACAACACGGGCCTGTGGCAGCGCTACCTCTCCTTCTGCCAGAGTCAGTTCGGCACCTTTTCTGTGTCCAAACTCCACGGTCTGTACGGCAAGTGCCTGAGTACCTTGTCTGCTGTCAAGGACGGTAGCATCTTATCCCACCCTGTGCTGCCAGGCACGGAGGAGGCCATGTTTGGTAAGGAGATAAACAGAAGTGCTTGTGTGGGAGGGCTGTGCTTTTGTTTGGCTTTATGCTTATTTTAGAAAGGTCTGAATCGTCAGAGCAAGTTTTTTATTTCAAGCATTGCCACTCTGCCTAATTATAACAGAGTGGGTAGGTAGGGTGCTACAGCCCTGGGTATGTGGGTAGGTAGGGTGCTACAGCCTGTCCAGCTCACAGGGTGGGTGGGTAGGTAGGGTGCTACAGCCTGTCCAGCTCACAGGGTACATGATTAGTTAGGTAGGGGCTAGAGCCTGTCCAGCTCACAGGGTACATGGTTAGGTAGGGGCTACAGCCTGTCCAGCTCACAGGGTACATGATTAGTTAGGTAGGGGCTAGAGCCTGTCCAGCTCACAGGGTGGGTGGGTAGGGATGTCTGTCGGCTTACAGGGTAGGTGGGTGGGTAGCATGTTAGAACTAGCAGAGTTAGAAAACGATGACTGGACACCTTTTCTATTTATTCACCAAATAAACTTATTCCAGTCTTAATTGCTTTGGCTGCCAGTGGTCTTACCTGTTGAGACCCCCGGTTATAGGGTGCCTGGCTGTAAGTACATGAGTACTTACTACATACAAGTAAGTGACTGGAATTAAACGTTAGTGTTTTCGGTGTGTCCCTCAGTGATCTTGGCAGTTGTGAGGTACAGCAGGCAGCATCTTATGTAGTATGTGGAGCTTCACTCTTCAGCTTGGGTTCTGGAATTATCCTTTATTGTGACAGTGTGCAGAGTCTGATCTGGAACAGCGTGCACATTTCTGAACCTGCTTGAGCTTGTTCCTTATCAGGAACAGTAGGCTAACCCTTGCTTTACGAGACCATTGTGACCATGAAGTGAGATAACGTGTGATGTACCTGCATATGACAAGCATTTATTTCATTGAACCTTTGTTATTAAGAATTAATTAGGGGGCTGGAGAGATGGCTCAGGGGTTTAGGGAACTTGCTGGTCTTCCAGGGGACCTGAGTTCAATTCCCAGCACCCACATGGCAAGCTCATAACTGCCTGTAACTCCACTTTCTGGTTCTGATACCCTCACACAGACATATTTGCAATGTGCATGAAATAAAAATAAATTATATTTTAAAAAAGAATCATCATTAACATCTAGAGACACAGATGTATTGATTGCTCTAAAAATATATGCATTTCCCACACTGACAGAGAGTCTTGTATTTGGGGCTAGAAGGTACAGTTCCATGCATCCATGATACCCTAGGTTTAATCCCTAACACCAAGACTAAATAAACGACAGGGACTTCCCTTTTGAAAAGTGTCTCATTTGATATTGTTCATGATATGCTTACATAGCTTAAAGCTACTTTAGATGAGCTGAACGGTTCAAGTGTGGCACTGTGGCCTGTTCACTCTTGGCTGAACATATGGTGAATGAATGGTGAATAATGCCACCTAGTGGTGGACTGAGTTCAGCTCTTTGCCATTGCTCTTGTAACAGTGAGCTCTGAGGACTGGTGAGCTAACATTCAGGCCTGCCTTTTAGCTTATTTTAGAATACATATATATTCTCTCTCTCTCTCTCTCTCTATATATATATATATATATATGGTTTTATTGTTAATATTTGTGTTTTGTGTAGTTTTGTATAAAAAATAGAAAAACTACACTTTGATTATAGTATGTTATTAGTCCTTTTCTTTGTTTATTTAAAAAAATTTTAAGCTGGGCATAGTGGTGCACACCTTTAGTCCTAGCACTGGGGAGGCAGAGGCAGGAGGATCTCTTGAGTTTGGGGCTAGCCTGGTCTACAGAGTGAGTCCGAGGACAGCAGGGGTTACACAGAGAAACCCTGTCTCAAAAACCAAAAAACAACAACAAAAAAAAATAGACTTTTCAGGTTTCTTTTTACTTATGTGTGTGTCCATGTGCACATGTGAACAGGTACCCGAGGAAGCCAGCATAGGGTGCTGGATCCCCTGGAAGTGGTAGTCATCTAACATGGGTGCCAGAACTGCACTCAGGTCCTCCGGAAGAGCAGCAGGTGCTCTTAACTGTCGCACCGCCCGTCCAGCCTGTTAGCCCTTTGAAATCAGGACACCGACGACACCGTGGAGGGGTTGAGTTGCGTTTTGAGAAATGACGTTTTCTCCTCCCCCTTTTGCTCCTGTGCGCAGCCCTCCTCCTTCAGCAGTGCCACTTCCTACGGCAGGCCGGCCACGCAGAGAAGGTCATCTCTTTGTTCCAGGCCATGGTTGACTTCACCTTCTTCAAGCCTGACAGTGTGAAGGAGCTGCCCACCAAAGTACAGGTAGGGCACACTCTGCCTCTCCCAGAAATCCTCCAGTGACCAAGGAGAGTCCCTCCACGACAGCAGCGGGATGTGCTGGCCAGATAAACGGGGACCCCCGCCCCCAGATACAAAGTCCACGGAGAGGCTCGCTTCCTCCCTACCACCCCTGTTCGAGCACAGCCTTCTCGCCACAGTTTCGCCACCCCGAGCCGCGTGTCACTTTCTCTGTCTTGTCTGGGTTGTGTTGCTACCTCTTCATTGCCTAAAATCTCTACTTGAACTGTGAACAAATGGGCGTTTGGTCAGCAGTCCTCATCACGAAGGGGTTCATCTTTAGTTAGGTGACCAGACATTTCCAGTGTTCACTCCATGTGGGAACGTAACCCAGCATAAGAGCTATGCGGCTGTGAAAAACGACCCCTTCTCTCTGTCCGCCCTCTGCTCTGGGAAAGGGGCTGTGGGCAGGCGGTGAGAGCATCTGGACTCAAGGTGAGCCCTGGGAAGAATTTTTGAGAAGGTCTCATGTGAACTGCCAGTGCAGACCATTTTTTATCGTGGTGCTACCTTTAGACAAAGTTGGGTTAAAGAATCACACCTGCGGCGGTGGTGGCTCACGCCTTTAATCCCAGCACTCGGGAGGCAGAGGCAGGTGAATCTCTGTGAGTTTGAGGCCAGCCTGGGCTACAGAGTGAGTTCCAGGAAAGATGCAAAGCTACACAGAGAAACCCTGTCTCAAAAACAAACAAACAAACAAACAAACAAAAGAATTATGCCTGTTAATACCTAGTACAACTAATTTTTAATTCGCCTTTAGATAAAGCAATTGAAAAGTGTGCTGTGATGCTTTAATTCTGTGCTATGCTTCAGCAGTGCTCTGGGTGCTATGGTGAGGCTCTGAATCCCCCTGTCCTCCCCTCCGCTGAGGCTCTTGATCTGGCATGAGACCAGTTTCTGCTCATGATGGCAGGGTTTCAAGGACCCCTGCTCTGCTATGTTCAAGCCCCCAGCCATGCCTGGAGGTGTTGAGTCCCAGCAGCACAGTGCCCTAAGCATCTGCATGCAGCTCAAGTAGAGCAGCCTAGTCAGCAGGGTTGCACATTTCCCCTCTAGCCGGGAGATGCCATCACCATAAATGTACTAGTATAAGACAGAACAGGGAGAGCCTGTGACACTGATCTGTTCCAGTAGAATAAACAAGCTTATTATAAACACATATCACACTCTTAAAAAATAAATCAGCCTTTGCTTGCATACATGGTTTATTTATTTCTTGCTGTACTGGGAATTGAACCCAGGCCTTTACACTTGGTAGGCATTGAGTTTTTTGTTTGTTTTGTTTTTAATGACTGTTTCAAAAGCCAGTCTGTAGTCTTCCCAGCCCATTTCCTGTGGGTGACTGACACTCATTTGCTCTCCAAGGCTGGTGTCAGCACTCTGCCCTGTGACCCTCATGGGGGTGTTCCCCTCAAGGCACGTCCTGCAACTGCCGGCCTATGATGTGTTTCCCACAAACTTGCTTGTCCTCCAAAGGTTCCTTGAGAAAGTTTTCAGTAGAGTAGATTCTTGGCTGCCTAAAGTGCTGTTGCTAGTCGATAACAAGATCAGGAACAGGAGGAGCTCCTGCTCAGTGTCCGTTCATTCTGTTCCTGGGGATGCTGCCTGCCTGTAAGGTGCTTTGCACACTTCAGAATCATGTCTAATGACAGCAGGAGCCAGCCTCCAAACGCAGATGGCTGTGTGCCGCAGCTACCGCCCTCCACGCACCTGTGCCTAAGGCATATACTGAGTTCTACTGTGTGCTGAGCTAGATGATAGGATTAGGGGTGAGAGGAGCCCGCCTGCAGTGGTTAGACTGCACCGGTGGGGTCAGGCGGGGTCAGAACTGGGAAACGCTTTCCTGCTCACTGCAGACCTTGTCACCAGACCTTGACCAGCCTTTCATAACCTGATCTTAGAAGCCCCTGAGTCCAGCCCACACTTTAGAGCCATATACCAAGGGTAGAGTAATGGGGCCCATCTCAGAGGCTGCCTGCTGAAATGATTGCTTTTTCTGCTTTGCTGTGCAGATGGACTGACTAAACATTGGAGGTATGGTGTTTTAGGGATCCTGTGCTCCCCAGATAGCCACCTGTGCCTATCTGGCCTGATGACTTGGGTGTCTCGCTTGTGGTTGGCCTAATTCTGTTATTTAAACTTGAACAGGTGGAGTTCTTTGAACCCTTCTGGGACAGCAGTGAGCCCCGTGTTGGGGAGAAGGGAGCCCGAGGCTGGCGGGCATGGATGCATCAGCAGGAGCGTGGCGGCTGGGTGCTTGTCAACCCAGGTGAGTGCTTCCAGGAAGTTAGGGGCATGCCTTCTCTTCTGGGGTTAGGTTTCCCCTTCATGATGGTTTCTCTGTAGAAGCTGCTTAACTGAGGTGGCTTAAGAGCACTGTACAGGCGTCGGAATGTCAGAAGGACTTAACCGACCCCGTGGACTGCTGCAGCACCCAGCTCCCATTCCCAGCCTGTAGCACGCTGAGCATCTGAGGGCCGGAGGCCTCCAGAAGAAGGGCTTTTCCAGGCTGCTCTTGAAGTAGCTGGAGTGTTGCTAGCCCCCTACTTCCTGCTCTTCTGGGTGTAGATTTAAGGAAGTCTTTTTGCAGTGTTCAGATAACAAATTCTTGCCTCTTTAGGAACCCTAAAAAAAGTATGAACTACCGCGTGCATAGTGGTCCTTCTGTGTGACGCCGAAGTGCTTCCTAGGTTTAGACTTCTAAAGAGGCGGCCAGGAGGAATCCAAGGGGACCACTGGTTCCCAGTCTCCTAGCCACAGTTTCAGTAGCAGGAATGGGGCGGAGCTCAGTGGAGAAGAAGGTGCTTAATCAGAAGCCAGGTAGAGCTGGGCAAGACGGCACGCATTGGGGACCTCGTTTCCCACTTAAATTATTAGGACTTTCTTTGATTTTTAGTTCTGAAGTACTTGTAGGTGTGCATGAAACTGAAAAACAAGAGTGTTTGTGCCCCCTGTGTCCAGAGGGCACTCAGATTTTACCAGTCTGCATTTCTGTGTGTGTTTACGTGTGTGTATGTGTGTATGTGTATGTGTGCATACATATTCATGTATATGTGTGTATACATGTGTGGTGTATGTGTGTGTGTATATGTGTATACATGTGTGTATATATCTCTGTGTCTGTGTAGATATGTGTATGTGTGTATATGTGTGTCTATGCACACATGTTCATGTATATGTGTGTATATATGTGTGGTGTATGTGTGTGTGTATATATCTCTGTGTGTGTCTGTGTAGATATGTGTATGTGTGTATATGTGTGTCTGCACACATGTTCATGTATATGTGTGTATACATGTGGTGTGTGTGTATTTCTGTGTGTGTAGCTATGTGTATCTGCACACATGTTCATGTATATGTGTGTATACATGTGTGGTATATGTCTGTGTATCTGTGCTTATGTGTGTGTGTGTATGTGTGTGCATATGTGTGTGTGTCCCAGGCAGTTTTGTCACTTGGTTAGCTTTGTGCAGTCTCCCTCACAGTCATGACACAGAACTATTTCGACACTTCAGGGCTTTGTTTATTGTGCCACTGTTTTAGCTACATGGTCCTTACCCATAGCTACTCAACACATGGATCTGTTCTGATACATATTATAAATGGAATCATTATTTGTGTGTGTGTGCGCGCGCGCGTGTGTGTGTTAGATGTATGTGTGTGTGTGTCGGTGTGTATGGGTGGTGCTGGCTTAGGCATGCACATGTGTGGAGGTCCTCTGTTGCTTCTCACCTTATTTTAAGAGACAGTTTGCCGCTGGATCTACAGCATCCCCCTTTGTCTGGACTTGCCGTCTCCTCCTCTTTCCCCTGACCCTATTGATGGGTTATGGGTGCACACTGCCATCCTGAGTGCTGTGATTACAGGCAGTGAGCACTTCACCCACAGAGCTGTCTCCCCAGCTGCCATACAACTTGAAAAAAAAGAGTTGCAAAGTAAAATGTAAGATTTACCATGGTAACAGTTCTTAAAAATGCAGTTCAGGGCGTTAAGTGTATTTGCATGGTGCATAGCTGTTCCTGGCGGCCATCTCTAGAACTCTTCACTGTTTTCCAGCTGAACTAGTCTCGGTTATCATCATCCCCTCCCGGAATCCTCTCCTCCCCTGGCAGCTCCAGTTCTACAGCGAGTATCAGTTGCTGACGTCAGGAACCTCCCGAAAGAGGAGTCACATGTGTGTCCCTGTGCAGCTGGCTGCTTCTACTTCTTGTAGTGTGTTTGGGAGTCATCTGGGTCATAGCATGTGCCAGAATCTCCTTTCATTTTAAGTTTGTATTATAATCCCCTGTGTGTGTGTGCGCGCGCGTGTGCCCGCCACATTTTGCTTATCCATTCTTCCTCGGATGGCTGCTTGGGTGCATCTTTGGTTCTTAGTGGTGCTGCTGTGAGCACTCGTGTCCCGTGACTGACTCCACTTCCAGTCCTTTAAGGTATACATTCAGAAGTGGAATTGCCCAGTCCTGTGACAGCGTTTTAATTCTTGGAGCTGCCGTCTTGTCTTTTACAGCTGCTAGCACCATTTGAGGTTCTTATCACCAGGTCCAGGTTTTCCATATCTGTATCATCACTTGTTTTCTCTGTCCAGAGGGGACTTTGTTTAGCTCAAGTCCCTGGGGCCTGTTCATGTTATGCTGAGCATGAGTCTGTGATGTAGAGAAGCCACAGTTTGTGTTCTTCCCCTAAGAGATCGAGGGAGGCCATTGTTTTTGGCCGTGATGAATAGGGCTGCCTTGAACACAGATGCTGAGGTCTTATTTGCTTGCATTTGTGTGCGAGTGTGTGGACCTCAGTTTTCACCTTTCTGCAGTTGTGGTGGGAGCCTGTTTGTTAGTTTATAAGATGGAGCCAAACTCTTTCTGGGTGTGGTCACTCCATTTTCCTAAGCCTTAAAAGTACTGGGCTTTGCAGGCCACTGAGGCTTCTTTAATACTACATGTTCAGACTTAGGAAACAAAGTGAAATACATTGTTGGACACCCTAAACTTAGTTTTTAAATCAAACTATAGTGATAAATCATAATGAAAAATATAAGGCCATTGGCTAAGCATCAGATGGGTTAACCAGTGCAGTCATTAAATGCCATTTGTTCAAAATAATTACCTCTAGCTAGCTATTCTTAAAGTGCATTAAAATGACGTGGGATTAAGAATTCAGTGAGTCACATGTAGGTGGTGGCGGCATTGGCACAGACAGTGTTTTGTCATCTCAGGAAGTTCTGTTGGGCAGTGATGTTCTAGAATCCATTCTCAGGTTTTTTTTGTTTTTTTTTTTTTCTCGGTGAAAGCATTGAAAACATCATTGTTCCATCCTTTATCTGCTTGTTTTTTCTGGGACTCTTCCCTGAGTCCTTGAGCCAGGGAGGCAGCGTGGTTGGTCAGTTTGTGTGCCACATGCCCAAGGTAGTTGGCACAGAAGACCCGTGGTGATGGTGGGTGTATTTCCTGCTTCAGTGAACTAGATGTTTCCTTCTTATCTAGATGAGGATGAGGAGGAGCCAGAAGAGGATGACCAGGAGATAAAAGATAAGACTCTGCCCAAGTGGCAGATCTGGCTTGCTGTTGAACGTTCTCGAGACCAGAGGCACTGGAGGCCCTGGCGCCCAGATAAGACCAAGAAGCAAACGGAGGAAGACTGTGAGGACCCTGAGAGACAGGCATGTACCCTTCACTACAGCAGAAAGTGTTCCCTCCCTCCCTGCCTCCCTCCCTCCCTCTGTTTATTTGTGCATGGTAGCCAGAAGAGGGCATCCTCTCCTATTATTCTCCACCTATTCCTTTGAGGCAGGGTCTCTCCTGAACCCAGGGTTCTCAGATTTCTAGGCTAGGCTGGAAGCCATCAAATCCCAGTGACATTATGTCTCCGCCCTTCTGGGATCTGGGGTTTTAGGGGTGTGCAAGGCTCCTGTCTTGTTAAGTAGATGTTCAAGACCTGAACTCTGATCTCATGGTTTTGAACCACTGAGCCATCTCTCCGGCCTCCAGGGTATGTGCTTTCCCTCGGCGGATGGGGAAGGAGCTAGTGCTAATACTTCACTTACGTCAGGAAATGATCTGGTACTTGCTGCTCTGGGTAGGGGCTGGCATCTCGGGAGATTTTAAATAAAGGAAGATGTGCTATTTTGTTTGTTTGTTTGTTTGTTTATTGTTATGTTCTGTTGAGAGTCTGTAGTCCAAACTGGTCTTGAATTTTGATCCTCCTGCCTTTAGACTCCTGAGTGCTAGGATTACAGGGATGTGCCAACACTCCTGGCTAAGAAGTGCTGTTTTGAAGCCTGGAATCGATCCAGTTTTTACAAGATACCAGTTCATTGTTTGGCGATGTGTATGAGGCTCTTGTGACCCTTCTTGCAAGTGAGGTGCCTTGAGGGGGTGGGTGCCTCTTGCTCACTGCTGGTCCCCTGTGTCTACAGGCTGTCCTCTGGCTAGTGCTCAGGTAGTGAGAGCTAGTGGATGCTGGAGAGCTCCCCGATGCAGGAGCATGCAGGCCTCGGTGCTGGCAGCATTTGAGGTGGTGGTGCAAGGATGGAGTTAGGACCCAGAGAGCGAGGGTAGACCAGAAGAAGCAGCCTCTGGTGGAACCTCAGCAGGCCTGTGGCGGGGAGCAGAGAGCCTGGGAGCCCTCAGCCCCTTGCCAGTTGAGCTACGGAATGTTTAAAGGGAGGGTCCTTTTAGTGCTTGAGGATTTCCTAGAGTTCATAGTCAGCTGATTTCTAGAGCAGACTGAGCAACTTCCTGTCAGTTTGCATTTTCTCTGTTGAAGCCCTAGGGAGAAAAGCTTTCTGATGAGTCGATGGTTCAGTCCATTGAATCCTGGGCAGTCCAGTGTTATTGTGCTTGTACCTGACTTCTTCTACCACGTGGCAAAGAAGCCAGTCAGTGTGAAAGCGCCTGAGATAGATAGGGTGGTGTCCTTGGCTGTGGGCTTTGAAGTGATGTATGAAGTCACCGTGAACACTCACAGCTAGCATCAGGCTCGTGATTGCTCTTTCCACGGTCCATTGCTTCTGCTGTCTCCTTCTTACCATGTACCCGTTTATCTGTCTCTGAGCAGTTTTCATTTTTTGAAGCAAACTTCTCGAAAGAAACTACAAATAGTAAGTCTCCCACCCTAAAGTCAGAGGGCTCTGTAATTGTTATCTGCCAGATAGCTAGTGTGGTTTGCTTCCGAAGTCTAGATTTTCTGTGAGTCCAGCAGGCTGCTTTGGTAACTGTTGGCTTCAGCCTATTGGTCTTTCCCTTTTTCCCATGGTATGCACGAGTTCTCAATGGCCCCTCCAGACTGCAGCTCTGTTCCTCAGCCCCTCACACTGCCTGGGCTCCAGGCTGCAGCTCTGTTCTCCAGCTGCTCACGGTGCCTGGGGAGCCTCTTGATTCTTTGTGTTTTGTAGAAGACCTAGCTGCTGTCTATTAAAGCTTACTTTACTCCGACTGACGGGGACTAGGACATCCGTGTAGAGAGCCAGGCCACCGTGACAGCTCCCGGGCTCACTGCCGCGTCTCCTCTCGCTTGCAGGTGCTGTTTGATGATATTGGACAATCTCTGATCAGACTTTCCAGCCCGGGTCTCCAGTTCCAGCTCATCGAGGCCTTTCTGCAGTTCTTGGGCGTGCCTTCCGGCTTCCTGCCTCCAGCCTCCTGCCTTTACCTGGCCATGGATGAGAGCAGCGTCTTTGACAGTGAACTTTATGATGAGAAGCCCTTGACTTACTTCAACCCTTCGTTTTCGGGCATTAGCTGTGTTGGCTACATGGAGCAGCTGGGCTGTCCTCGCTGGACCAAAGGCCACAGCCGAGAGGGCGAGGAGTTTGTCCGCAACGTCTTCCACATCGTGCTGCCTCTGTTCTCAGGCAAGCACAAGTCTCAGCTCTGCCTCTCCTGGTTGCGGTATGAGGTTGCCAAGGTAACCAGCTGCCTCCTCCCTCATTTCATGTCATGTCTCACGGGATTGCGGGGGCTCCAGAAGCCCCTGAGTGCCACTGTCACAGAACTTCCTCCTTTAGTGGCTCTTGCAGACGCCTCAGATGTGAAGGAGCAGCAGGAGATAGGCCAGTGCTTAGTGGCCAGAGCTGTCTGTGGTCTGCGATTATCCAGGCACTTAGTGCTAAGAGCCAGCGTCAGCCTAAGCAGGGTTAGAGGATCTGGGGCGTCTTAGGACAGGAAAATAAGCTGCTTATCCTAATAGCTGTCGGCGCAGGGCGAGGTCCCATACTCTGCTCTGCCCTCTGCTGGCCAGTATTAGTACTAACTCTTATGGATAATGTGCTCTCAATTCATTTCATACACAAGTACAGTGTATTTGGATCATAGCTACAGAGTCCCCCCGCCCAACTCTTCGAGGAACTCCTGCCCCCACTTCGTGCCTTCCGTTTTTTAATATGTAAGTCCTGAAACTATCTGCGGCTTACACACAGCAGGTTGTATGGGAATTGTGTCTTTGAAAAGTGTCCTTGACTGGATGATTGAGTCATTAGAAACATGGAAGAGAGGTGTGGGCTCACAGTGTAGTTCATCATTTCCCACTCAGTGAGCTCTTGCCTTTTGGACAAAAGAGAAATGGGGTCCATTTCTGGAGATGAGCATTTGGAGAGGGTTGGGCCTGTTTGTTGGGGATTCAAGTGAAAACCTGGTCTGTTCATGCTGGCACCCGTGGCCACGTAAACCCTGATTTCATTGCCGGCTTGGGGCTGGTGGCAGCCAGATCTGACGGAGGAAGTGTGGACTGCTGCCTCGCCAGTGCCTCCTCAGCCTGGCAGGACAAGGGAATGCTTGGGGGACCCAGCGATGTTCTTTTCTTTTTGCTGTAGGTGATTTGGTGTCTACACACTAAAAAGAAGCGACTAAAGTCTCAGGGAAAGAACTGCAAAAAACTAGCCAAGAATCTCCTTAAAGAGCCAGAAAACCGCAACAACTTTTGCCTCTGGAAGCAGTATGCACACCTAGAGTGGTTGCTTGGCAACATAGAGGATGCCAGAAAGGTGTTTGATACAGCACTCAGCATGGCAGGCAGCAGTGAGCGGAAGGACCGTGAACTCTGTGAACTCAGTCTGCTTTATGCCGAGCTGGAGATGGAACTGTCGCCTGACTCGAGAGGAGCCACCACAGGCCGGGCTGTCCATGTGTTAACGCGACTGACCGAGAGCAGTCCCTATGGGCCCTACACTGGGCAGGTCGTGGCCACTCAGGTTCTGAAAGCTCGAAAGGCTTACGAGCACGCCCTGCAGGACTGTCTGGGACAGACTTGTGCCTCTGACCCAGCTAGCACAGAGTCCTTGGACTGCCTGGGTAGCTTGGTCAGATGCTTTATGCTTTTCCAGTATTTGACTGTGGGGATCGACGCTGCTGTGCAGATATATGGACAGGTGTTTGCCAAGCTGAAGGGCTCTGTTCTCCCAGAAGGTCCTGGGCCGGAGGATAGCACCAGCCCTCAGAGTTTGAGCAGTGTTCTCGAAGCTGTTACCCTGATGCATACAAGTCTGCTGCGATTCCACATGAACATTAGTGTGTACCCCCTGGCTCCACTCCGAGAGACGCTCTCAGAGGCTCTCAAGCTATATCCAGGCAATCAGGTTCTCTGGAGGGCATATGTACAGATTCAGAATAAGTCCCACAGTGCTAACAAGACCAGGAGATTCTTCAACATCGTCACCAGGTCTGCCAAACACTTGGAGCCTTGGCTCTTTGCAATTGAAGCCGAGAAGATGAGGAAGAGGCTGGTGGACTCTGTCCAGAGGTAATTACTGGCGGTCTCATGCTGGGTCTCACAGACCTCTATGGGGTGGTTATTGTGTTCTCAGCCCCTTGCCAGGTCTCAGGCCCTGCCACAGCTGCTGCACTGCTCTAGATGCTTCTGCTAACAGACTGGAAAGTGAGTAAGACACTTAGGAATAGCTCCTTCCTCCTTAGAACCACTGGTGACTGTCTTCCTGCCCCAAGTGTGGACCTGCCCTTTATTTCTGGTGTGCCTGAGATGGAATGCGAGCACTGTTCTGTCAAGCACGGACTCTAGAGGTCAGCTCTGATTCAAGTGCCTGCTCTGCCCCTTGTCCCTGGGTGACTCTGGGCAAGCACTTCATCTCTCGGACAGTTTCCTCTTCTGTCAAGTGGGAACTGTGGAAGAGCTGACCTGCTGGGCTTTCCTCTCAGGTCCAGGGCAGCAAGTGCTTGGCCTGAAGGTGGCACACAGTTCCACAGGAGCTGTGAGCTTCTGGCAGCACTCATGGAGAATGGCGTCATGCTCCACCTGCCTTCCTTTGACTTAGTAAATGGTCATCCTGGAACCGGGAGCTTGGGAGCCATTGTTCCTTCTGGAATATTTGCTGCTGCGTCACGTCGGTCATAGACATAGGGTTGCTTTTAGTGAGGCTTCCTTTTGCTTGGATTTGGTTTCTTCCATTGATACTTAGTCACTCCGCCTGAGTCTAACTGCAAAGACCTTTTTTTCTCTCCCCAGGCAGGACTTGGCATTCTGATCACAGGGTGGGCTTGTGTAGGCTTCCCGGGCAGGCTCAGCATAGTGCAGAACACACAGCCCTGGCCAGTGCCTGGGCTCCAGCCTCACCTGCACAGGCTGTCCACATGCTCACCCCTGGGGGACAGCGCTTCCCCAAAAACTGATAGAGGTCCTGCTGACCTCGGTCATTGCTGGAGTATGTCTTCCTCCGTGATGTTGGGGACAGAACTCATCTCGGAATGACCTGAGTTCTTTCCTTGCAGAGTAGGTGGTAGAGAGGTCCACGCAACCATCCCGGAGACCGGCCTGACGCATCGGATCAGGGCCCTGTTTGAAAATGCAATTCGGAGCGACAAGGGCAGCCAGTGCCCCCTACTGTGGAGGATGTATTTGAATTTTTTGGTAAGAAAATATTTTTTGACTCTCTGTTTTTGTTTTGTTGAAGCCCTGTGTCTAAATTTATAAGTAGAAAAACCTGCAGTTGTTGGTAGCCACCGCCTGGGAAGGAGAGCCTTATTTTCAGCCCTTGATTTGGCATTGTTCTAGTGCTTTCTGTAGGGCTGGATTTGTGGATAGGTATTGTTTAAATCTGGTTTTGTCGTGGGATATCTTGTTCACTCTGTCTATGGTGATTGAGAGTTTTGCTGGGTATAATAGTCTGGGCTGGCATCCATGGTCTCTTAGTGTCTGCAGCACATCTGTGCAGGCCCTTCTGGCCTTCATAGTCTCCATTGAAGTCGGGTGTTACTCTGACGGGTCTGCTTTTCTGTGGGACTTGGTCTTTTTCCTCTGTGCTCCAGCACAAGCACTTTACCGCGGCCTGTGTCCCCAGTGCTTCCAGCCAGTCTCTAGAGAGCCCAAGTCTACGGCCGACGAGGGTTTATGCCGAAATGGTGCCTGTGGTACGTCCTGATTGGACTGCCCAGCAGCCTGGCGCAGGCAGCAGGAAAACCTGGCTTTAGTCAGACCCCTGCCCGACTTCCCCGTCCCCCTCAGTCTTCCCGAGCAGAGGAAAGAGCTTTAGAATGGACGGATACTTGTGTATTCGCCAGCTCCACGTCCCAAGTGTCCAGATGCATGCAGGGAAGGTCAGATGACAGAACTCTTCTGAGACCGCAGTGAGCCAGGTTTGCCTGGGTTGTGTGCAGAAAACTGCTGTGGACTTGAAAAGTCTGGACCCGGAAGGAATCTCTATCTTTGATGAGGTGGTGTTAAAACCAAGGACTAGTTAGAGCATGTCTTTGTCTGGCAGTTCCTGAGGCAGCTGGGTGGGCTCCTAGCACTTTGTTAATTAATTACAGTTAAAAAAAATGAATGAGAGCTCAGTTACACGTGCGTCAGCAAGTGTCTGGGGAGGATGGGAGAGACGGCCGTGAAAGGCCATCGGAGTGGCTTGCCTGCTTGTGTCCTGCGGCCTCTGGAAGGTGTGCAGCATGCTGGCATGCTTACTTTTCCCGGCAGAAATGCTGAGGACGTTAAAGCTTGCTGTGAGTTGGCTGTAGGAAGAAGAGTCAGACAAACAGCAGCCGAGTTTCCCCACTTAGTCCTCCTTAGGTTGCACTTTGGCAGATGGCAGACCGAGTTTGAGGGGACGTTCCAGCTGTTACTCTGTGCACGTCAGCACTTTGAGCCAAGCTGGTGGCGGTGTTGAGAAAGTGACAGTTTCCTTCTCAGTAGCGAAGGACATCTAAGGAGATAAGCCAGTCAGCCATTATGTGACCGCTGTGCACAGTGCAGGAAGTCTCGCTGTGTAAAAGGAGCTGTGGCAGTTCCGGGTTGTCCCCGTTAGGTCTTTACCTCCCATGTAGTGTGCTGGTCATCTCTGTCTGCTCACAGATCCCAGGCCATTTGGAAAGGCTTTCATTTTCAGGGCTGGTGGGAGAGGAAGCCTCTGCTCAGCCTTCCTCCCCTCCTGAGCCTCAGTGTCACCTCAGGAAGTCACACAGGAAGTGCTAGGAGAGGTGAAGCTTCCATTTGGGGAGGGTGATGTCAGTTTTTATAAATTGTCTTTTAATTTTCTGAGATGTTGTGTCCCCATCAGAAGGCGGCACACATCAGTTGGGAACAGAGATGCCCAAGCAGGTGATTATTAAACCCTAGTTATCGTCTAGAAATGGAGAGTGACAGCCCTTGTTCCTATTGCCCTGGCTGGCCTTTGGAGAGAAGACTGTGTGCCTGGCTCAGGGCTGACTTAGGCACTTGTTCACTGTATGCATCACATGGTACCTGTGAGTCTTGGTTCCTGGGGTAGAAGGCGAAGCCTCTGTATAGGATCTCCTTCCCTCCCTCCAGGAGGGATCCAATACCCAGAGACAGGGATAGTGTGACCAAGCCAGGGCCATTTATTTTTCCCACCTACAGTATTTCTAAAGAGAAATAGCCCACTGACAAGCCGACTGAGCAAGGACATGGGAGACACACACCTCAAATCTGCCTCCTTAGAATGGGGACTGGGGGTATTCATGCGGTAAAGAAATGGGAACATGCTGCATGGGAAGGGCCATGCATTTTCTGCATGTGTGGCAGTCAGACCTCACAGTTCTCCCTGGGATACTGTTCTCAAAATGGGGAAGTGTGGCCTGAGGGCTGGAGTGTTTTCAACCTCCTGATGTCCAAGGTCACACTAACAAGACATGTGAAGAGCCGTGGCCTTATCAAAAATGGCCTTCAAGTCCCTGAACAGGAACCCAGGCAACCATTATCATCATGATGCATCAGAGCTGCTATCTGTGGCTGTACTAGCAGGAGACTGAGCCCACAGTCAGCTGTAGGACTTAGAGAACTGGGGATTTAAAGCCAACTGAAAGCAGGTAGCTGGTGTGACGAGACAGGCCAGCTGCATCTTTGGCAGATCATTATTAAAGCTGGGTTCCTGACCTCCCAGAGCCTTGGAGACCAGGTTTCTTATTTGATGGCAGCGTTTCTGAGAAGGACTCTTCCATCCTCAAAAGATGCTTTTGAGCGGCTGAACATCCACATTTGCAATTGTTAGCCCTTCTTTTAGTGAATGCCCAGCACGTGATTGTGCTCTCTAGCCAAGGACCTGGCGTTGTAGCAGCTCCCTTCTCTTCTGGTAGCTGTACTTCCTTTGCCTTTGCACAGAGGCCGTTAGTGCTCTGAGATGTTCCTGGTCTGCCTGGTAGGACATGATTTCCTAGTCACAGTGCCACGGGGTAACAGGGAGCCCTGGGAAGGAGGGAGTGGCCCTAGCATGTTTCAGCCCTGACGGAAATGTGCAAGGACTCGGTGGACATGAAGAAGGTAGGGTGGGAAGAGGCAGGTAGCTTCCAGGAGAAACCGCTCTAAGAGGGGCAGGTGTACTCAAGGCCATGCCTTAGACTATGACATCGGGGAGGGAACACAGTCACCTCTAGGCTCTCACCTGGCGTTGGGTCCTGCCACACCTGATGCAGGAAGGCGGCGGCTTTCTGAGGTGACTTTGGAAGGAAATGCCAGAGAGCAGTTCTTAGTGAGGCTTGCGTCCTTGTGCCTGGGCGTACTGGGGTCCGGGGTTAGCTGTACATGGCTAAGAGAGTGCAGTGACAGTTTTGTTCTTCCACTTAGTCAGTACTTAAGAGAGGACATTGAAGTGTGTTGACTTGGGAGGAAGGAGGCACATTAACTCTTTGGGGACAAATTCAGAGGCTCATCCTCAGAGCAGGAGTCTTCTGAGCCACACATATGACCATGGGAGTCAGACCATGGGAATCAAACTTGAAAAAAAGAGAAAGGATGGCCGAGGCTGAAGAAATAAATGGCTTAGTGGTTAAGGGCACTTGATGCTCTTCCAGAGGACCGGGGTTCCATTTCTAGAAAATCCAGCAGGTGGCTCACATCTGACCCGAACATCTTACACACACACACACACACACACACACACACACACACACACACACACACACACACTCACCACTCACACACTCACACTCCAGAAACATTTGTGTGTGTTTTGGATCATGGGTGGCCTGTAGTGATACTAATACAGTAGTGGGGCAGTGGTCTGGCCTGGCCTGGCCTGCAAGAGGCCCCCCAGTTCCAGATCTCACGGAGCAGCCTAGGTGGGAGCTGGAGAGGCCACCATCAGGCTACCTCTAAGGCAGAATGACCTCTAGGCTCTGACAGAAACTTGTAATAGGCTATGGGCTAATTAGCCCTTGAATCTTTACTATTTAGTCATGGTTTTAGACAGTCTTTTTACCTAGTGCAGGCTGGTTTAGGATTTGAACCTCCTGCCGGCCTCCCCGTGTGGATGTGCCGTCATGCTTGTCTTACAAGGCCTTTCAGAGAAATGACGGAATGAGTACCCAGGGATCCAGTACCCAGGGATCCTCGTTATTTGGTCTCTGAGGGTGATTTTCACAAAATGGCAGACCATTTCCCATGCGTACGAAGTCATGAGCCTCGCCTCGTGGACATGTCTCGTCCCGAGCCTAGGTGTCACTAACCCTAGAGAGTAGTGCTGAAAGAGGAGACCTAAGGCTTCCGAAAATAAGTGTTGAACGACCCAACACAGCAGTGGCCCCAGAGCATTCTCTGGCACCTGGGAATCATCCCATGGGTTGTCAAGATGGTGTCAGCCCCGACACAGGCCGGCTTCTGGTATCTGAGGGCAGGCGCAGACTGTGCACATTGTAGCCTTAGCCTCCCTGCCTCCATCGCTCACCTAACGATCTCTTCCTAACCCAGGTTTCCTTAGGGAACAAGGAAAGAAGCAAAGGCGTGTTCTACAAGGCACTCCAGAGCTGTCCTTGGGCAAAGGTAAGCTTTAAACACTGTCGCGTCTTCAGCTTCTCAAGGACCTTCCAGCCCGCCTCTGCCTGGCAGTGTCAGGGTGTGGCTTTGCCAAAGCCTTTTCCTAGCGACACTGTCCTGAGATGGTGCTCCATGGGGTTAGCGCTTTCCCAACATTCTCCCACAATGCCCAGATGCCCATGTCCTACCCAGATGAAGAGGCGTTGGGAAACCAAACTGAGGGTGAACTGTAGCGCTGACCGTGCTGGCCACGTCCGAGGGAGTGCTTCACTCTGCATTTACTATTTATGGCCGTTTGCCGTTTCCCCTGGACACGCAGAGCTGCCTGAGCTAGGCAAGTCTCTGCAGGCCGGAGGGATGGGACTCACTGGGACCCTCCGCGATCTTGCTCTGTGCTCATGGCCAGTGTTGTCTTTCTCTGCTGCTAGGTGCTGTACATGGATGCCATGGAGTACTTCCCAGACGAGCTACAGGAGATCCTGGACTTGATGACCGAGAAGGAGCTTCGTGTACGCCTGCCCCTGGAGGAGCTGGACCTGCTGCTGGAGGACTAGCGTACACCGGGGGCAGCGCTGGTCTGCTGAACCGCGAGGACCGAGGGCCCAGGCTGTGCCAGGGCTTGCTTAACTGTCTGGGTGGGGTTTGGACTGTTTTACATATTATATATGTGACCAATGATGTACAGATGGAGTCGTGCCAGTGATAAACCTTTTGTGGTTGTGTGCATTTTCGTATTCCTCCAACTACACACACACACACACACACACACACACAAAACCTTTTGTGGTTGTGTGCAGCTTCGTATTCCTTCCCTCAGCCCCCGCTTAGTCAGCGCTTGCCTGTCACACTGCATGTGTCCATGATCCTGTCACAGGTTTGGCTACTTGCCATGGAGACCTCCCCTTTCCCTGGGCTGGTAAGCAGAGATACATTGTTCTTTATCTTCCACCCAGCAGATGGTTATTTAAACATTTCCTGTCTTGCTCTGGGGACCAGCAGCATCCACAGGGTCTGTGTGGCACTGCTCAGAATCTACCCTCTATTGGAATCCAGGTGCCCATGTGCTCAGTACTGTGGAAACCTCGGGCAGGGCACCAGCACCCTCTGCAGGAAGCTTGCTGGTGACCTTGGAGCAGGCTGAACCATGACCACAGCTGCTCCCAGTTGACCGGAGCTCGCCTTTCTGATCATGAAGGCCATGAGAAGGCAGTCGTTTTTACTGTGGGGGAGCTCTGCCGCACAGCCTTTCCTGTTAGCCTGGCTGAGGAGATGGCGTGTCTGTATTCACTGCAGGGATGCCTGCCGGAGTCCAGGCTGGCCTTGAACTCTTGCTTCTGCCTTTGCCTCTATTAATACTGTTTATTTTCCCTGTATGTTGGGATTTAGATACAGGACCTTATGCTGTCCTGTGATTGCTTCTCACCCTTCCATGTACATAATTCTTACCCTTGGTCTTCAACACTCCTGCCAGGTGGCATCCTCAGTGCTGAGTTTTGATGCTGTGTAGCTTCTCATAGATATCCATCTCTACACAAATAAATTGCACCCACTCTGCACAGGGCTACCCGAGTATAGCCTTTGCTAGACAGAACTCTTCCCCACCCCCATGATGGAACCTGTGAATAACCTATGGAGGGTTAGCCAGGGTGGGCGTGCTGGTGCAGGCCTTTAATCCTGGCACTCAGGAGGCAGAGAGAGACAGGGGGATCTCTTGAGTTCGAGACCAGCCTGGTCTGGCTACACACACCTTGTCTAAAACAACAAAACAATTCAAAAAAAGCGAGAAGGCTGTCCTGGGTTATCCGAGTAGGCCCAGTCTGGTCACGAGACTCTTGGGAAGTAAAAAAGGAAAGGAGGAAGGAACAGACACAGGAGGATGGATGGGAGTGGCCTCCACAAGCTGCAAAAGGTCCTCAGTTGACAGCATGTGCTGACCTGGGCCCTGCAGCGACAAGGAGCTGAGTTCTGCCAACCTGGACCTCGAGGAAACTGGATTCTCTCTTGAGCTTCCAGAAAGGAGCGCAGTGGATACCAAGGTTCTAGCTTTTTGAGTGGTCTCTTGACCTGTAAACTGAGACAAATGTACTGTTTAAAGGAAGTCTCGGTGGCACCAAAAAAAAAGGAATATGCCTTCTTTTCACAGGCCACCTGCTGCCTTGTGGCTCTGAGGAATCATCTATTTAGAAAGGAAATAGAGCCGGTGGTGGTGGCGCACACCTTTAATCCCAGCACTT